GGTGATTTCTCACTTTCTGTCTCTCTGTCTCTCTCTGTCTTTCTGGCGAGCACACGCGCCGTATAGCAAAAACCTCTCCAAAAAATAATAATAACAACAAATAAAATTAAGTAAGTAAAATAATTTAAAAAATCATAATTCTGCCTGAAATCCTGCCTCTGGGTCTGCATATACATGTATCTGTATCCAGCACTAGAAAGTATGCTGGAGTCCCTAGAAAGGTACGAGAAGTTAAATGATGGATCAAAATACCCGAGGGAGCCAACGAGAGGTGTTAAAAGCATAAAAATACCAATCTCTATAAGAGAAGGGGCACATATATAGCTTTTTATGTTGGCAAGCGTATATAACCATTAAAATTGGAGAAATGTACTATTTGCTACAAAACTTGGCCTTTCATCTAGAGTTCAAGGAAAACTTGCCCAAAAAAAAAAAAAAAAAAAAAAAATTCTCTAACTAACTCGAGTAACTGGTTACTGGAACTTTTCCTTGCTGCTTAAGGAAAGCACTTTTCAAAGTGAGAGGGATGAATGAGAGAAGAAAGGGAAACTAACACTACCGTGTTCTGGTGGTGTGCTACAGGGATGGCCAAATACACTTTAATTTTCAAGTGCATTCTCTCCTTTTTTAAAAAGGTTATTTATTTCCAGAGGGGTGGGGGTGTCCTCCACAGGGTCCTCACACTGCTCTCTTCCCCTCAGCTCTGCTACCAGCCAGGATCCCAGGAGTGCCCACAGGCCCACGTGGCATGTTGAGGCAGACCTGGGACATGGACCCAGGGCCTCCCCACGTCTTCTGCAGCATCGCGCTACCTGTGCCACCGCGGCTGGGCCAGCAGGCGCACTCTTCCTTAGTTCCTGAATTCCACAGTTCTGAACTGAATCAGGACAATTCCTGAGGAACGGCAGTGAATGTTCATTTCTTTGTTTGTCTCTTTCATAAGTGCAGTTTACTCTGTTTTGCTACATAGAAGTATACATTAAAATCATTTATCACGGGACCAGCAGATGGCATGATGGTTTTTTTGCTGGACTCCTACCTAGTCGACTGCAGTTTGAGTCCTGGACCCAAAGGCTTGAAACTCATGCTGGACGCATGTGCAGATAATTGAGAAGATAATTGAGGAGAAGGGATTGCAGCATGGCCATCCCCTCTGGGAAGTGATTTCTCACTTTCTGTCTCTCTGTCTCTCTATCTGGCGAGTGCACGTGCCCTATAGCAAAAACCTCTCTAAAAAAAAATCATTAATCACTGGTTATTAGTTTCTAAGTTTTCCATTGTATGTTTTTAATGTGCGGTTTGGGGTATATAACCACAGCTGAGACTTCTGAGGTTGAAGTGCTATGGGATGGAGACTTGGCAGAATGAAAAGGACACACAACCTAGAATTAGAAAATAGATATTTTTTTCCTTAGAGATTTTTGCTATAGGGCACATATGCTCACCAGAGAGACAGAGAGAGACAGAAAGCGAGAAATCACCCCCCAAGAGGGATGGTCATGCTGCAATCTCCTCCATTCTCCTCTTGGAATTTTGGGTGCACATGTACACACGCCCAGTGTGAGATTTAAGCTTCCAGGTCCAGGACTCGAACCACAGTCAACCAACCACATGGGAGTCCGGCACCTTAACTACTATGCCACCTACTGGCCCCAGAAAATAGGGGTTTTTTTTTGTTTGTTGTTTGTTTTGGAGAGGTTTTTGCTATAGGGCACGTGCACGCGCCAGATAGAGAGACAGAGAGACAGAAAGCAAGAAATCACCCCCCAGGGAGGATGGTCACACCGCAATCCCTTCTCCTCCATTCTCCTCTCGGGATCTTGGGCATGCACACGCGCCCGGCGTGAGTTTTAAGCCACTGGGTCCGGGATGCGAACCGCAGTCGACTACGTGGGAGTCCAGCGACACAGCCATTATGCCAACTGCTGGTCCCTGAAAAACAGGTTTTTAAGCCCAAAACTGATGTTTACTTTTATTCTCACAGCTTTCCTTTCATCATCCATAAAACAACAGAAAGGTTTTCAAACTTTTCAGCACCTTTCTTCAAATGTAATTGTATGTAAAAGTTCAAAACCATAAGTGGGGCAGCTGTGGGTGACCAGGGCTGATGGGCCTTGAAGTGTGCCTCCTCCACATTCCCCTTTCCAATCTCAAATGCTGAAGAGAACAATGCGCCAGGTAGACAGTCTTCTGAGGTCTTTTTCAGTTTAGAACTTCATGATTCTCTGACTGTCATAAGTTAATTAGAGCAGAGTCAAATAAATTTGATGATTTATATAATTTTTTTCCACACTTTTCAGTCAACTTTCAAAAGGGAATCTGGCCCTTAAGTGCAAAGACGTGGAGTGGGTACCTGGTAGGTAGTGAGAGAGTGTGATAGCATATTGCAGCGACTAGCTCCAAGCAAATCCACTTTCTGACAAACATCCATCTTCAACTTGTCAAAAGAAGCTTTGCTATTTCTCACTTGGATTTGTACCTGCAATCACAAAAATGTTAATTATTATTACCAAAAGAAAACCATATAAATACAGCATACAGAATCAGACTGTTTTCAGATATATAAAACTGTAACAAAGAAGATTAGTTCTCAAAAAAAATGTACTACTAATATGATAAATGATGAAAATTTTGTCTATTTTTAGTAATTTTAAGAGTCTTTTTTCTCTAGTAAATATCATTTTTCTTTCACATATTTCTAAGATTTTTGCCATAGGGTGTGTGTGCTCATTGGAGAGAGAGAGAGAGAGACAGACAGTAAGAGGGAAAGTGAGAAATCACCCCACAAGGTGGATGGCCATGCCTCAGTTCCTTCTCCTCCTGGGATTTTGGGCATACACACACACACATACACACACACATACCCACACACACACACACACACACGTCCAGCATGATTTTCAAGCTGCCAAGTCCAGGACTTGAACCAAAGTCGGCCATGTGGGCGTCCAGCACCAAAACCTCCATGCCACTTGCTAGACCCAGAAGATACTGTTTTTAAAAATTATTTAGTTATGGGGCCGGCAGGTGATGTGGTGGTTAAAAGCACTGGATTCCCACATGGCCAACCATGGTTCAAGTCCCAGACCTGGCAGCTTGCCTTCTTACTTTCCCTTTCTCTCATTCTGGTCAAACTAAAAAATAATAACAACAAATGGAATTAAATAAATAAATCTTTAAAAATTATTTTATTCATTATTATCATTATTTTCTTTAAGTACATTATAGGGCATGTGTGCTCACCAGAGAGAGAAAGAAAGATAAAATGAGAAAGAAAGCCACCAGATCCAGGACTCGAACCATGGTAGGCCATGTAGGAGTCTAGAACCTAAACCACCATGCCACCTGTTGGGCCCTCTAATAGGTAGATATCTTTGTGCTGAAAAAAATATGAAATGATAGGTCAAAAGTATATAGTTAAGAAAAAAAAAGTATTCCAAATAAAAAGCTAAAACTATTTATGGATAATATTTAACTAAGAGCAATGAAACAAATGGGAAGGGACCCAAAAATGTTGAGAAGTATTAATATTTCTGGGTCTGACCCGACAGTGTAGTGGTTAAGTGGTATGCACAGAGAGCCAGGTCCCACATGGCCAACTGTGTACCTAATCCTGGCCCTGGCAGCTTGGAAATTGCTTCAGGTACACTGTGCATGTGTGCCCAAAATCCTACGAGATGAAGAAGTGAAGAAAAAGGGACTAGGGACCAGCAGTTAGTATAATGGCTATGTCACTGGACTCCCATGTAGTCGACCGCAGTTCGCGTCCCAGATCCGGTGGCATAAAACTCATGCCGGGCGCGTGTGCGTGCGTGCCCAAGATCCCTAGAGGAGAATGGAGGAGAAGGGATTGTGGCGTGACCATCCCCCCTGGGGGGTGATTTCTCGCTTTCTGTCTCTATGTCTCTCTCTGTCTGTCTGGTGAGCGCACGCGCCCTATAGCAAGAAACTCTCCAAAAAAAAAGAAAAAGGGACTGTGGAGCCAGCAGGTGGGGGTGGTTTTTTTCTTGCAACAAATCCTGAAAGTCCAAGTAAATACAATTAAGGAACAGCTAAGAGGCACAGCTATTGGGGTGCACACTGCTAATACACTGTGCTCCACAGGCTGGCACATGGGAGGCTTGGGTTCAATTTCTGATCCAACTCAAAAGCTGGGCAGGGTGATGTATACTTATAAACCTAGCCAGGAGTCTGAGGCAGGAAGAGCCAACATATCGAGACTTTCCCTTTAAAAATAAAGTGTTATAAGGGGCCCAGAAAATATTAATAAAAAAGGTTGATGGGGAGGACTGGCAGGTGATATGGTAGTTAAGGGCACTGGAATCCCACATGGCCAACTGCGGTTCGAGTCCTGGACCTGGTGGCTTGCTTTCTCACTTTCTCTCTCTCTCATTCTGGTCAAGTTAAAATAAATAAATAAATAAATAGAGTTAAATAAAATAATGCTTTCCAAAAAATTAAAAAAAGGATTGATGGGGAGGGGATGCCTTTCAAAGAGTAAAAATAAAAGTGAGAACCCTTTGTACTTGAGTCAAGATCTTCAAGCAAACAAGAATTCATAAACACGTTTTTCAAAACTAGTCTGACATTGCATTATCTCAATTAAATTATCCTGTAGCCATTCATTTTTTATGTACCAAGAAAAGGAAAACAACACATTTTCATACTTTTCTGAACTTTTCCATTTGTTTCAAGGTGTCTGGGTCCAGTTCTTGGGATACATCTTTCATCCACAGCAGAGCCCCTCTGTATTCCGTGCGTGCTTGCTCCATCCGATTGATTGTCATCAATGTGTCCGATACTGCCCGCTGACTGAATGTTGCCACTTCTTGCTTAAGCCGAGACAGAGGGGTACACAGGGCCAGTCTAATGGCAGAGAGGTAGAAATCAGAGGCTTGGGCATCCCACAAGAAAACAGAACAAAGGTTGGGGATTTTTTCCTAATAAGTTTCTTCAGTTGAATTTCTATTTTTTAGTTTGTGATTTGTGTGTGTTTAATTGTTATATGTACATCTGTTTTTCGTTGTTTTTGTTTCGTTTTTGCCAGACAGCAAATGCACTCAAAGGAGGAGGTGGAGTGAAAAAGCCGCACTCCCGCCCCACAGAGAATGGTCACACCACGAGCTATTTTTTTCCATCTCTCCTTCCTTATGGGAGTTTGAGCACGCATGCACATGCACCCAGTGTGTTTTTCAAATGCTGGGTTTGGGATCTGAACCACGCATTTGGCCATGTAGGACCCTGTAACTTTAACCACCATGCCGTGAGATGGCCCAACTGTTCTACATCTTTAAAACAAAGGTTTTATTAAAACAATACAAAGCATATTTGCTACCAAGTCTATAAATAGGTAATAATTGGGTCATCAGAAAAGTTATTATGTATTTTTCTATGCAAAAATGCATCATGACTTTTCCAAAGGTCCAATGTTAAGAAGCATAAACAGGGCCAGCAAAAAATGTGGTAGTTAAGGTGACTGGCTCCCTTAACCATGGCTGACTTTACGGTTCAACTCCTGGAAGTGGCAGCTTGAAAAAAACACTGGGTGCGTGTGCGTGTGTGCCTGAAGTCCTGAGAGAAGGGACTGTGGTGTGGCCATCCCCTCTGGGGAGCTCTTTCTCACCTTTCCACTCTCTTTCATTCTGTCTCTAGTAAGTGCATGTTTTCTGTAGCAAAATAAGTAAATAAATAAAGAGAAGCCTAAATAAATTTTAAAAACAACTAAGAACATATAGCTAACTTTGAATTATTAATAAAGATGTAGCTACACCTCATCCTTTTTTTTTTACTTTGGGAATATATTATTTTTGTAACATTCTAGATGTTAATCCATATATAAATAAACTGCCAAGCAAATCTCCCACTTAGAAAAAGAGTTTTGAGGGTATTAGTGAACTTGCATTCATAAAGCATGATCCAATTAAGAAAGACTTTCATTTGATAAGTTCAGAAAAACAAAGGTTTAGAAGAGCAGATAACTGGGACCCAACAGACGATGTAGTAGCTACATCGCTGAACTCCCACATGACCAACCACAGTTTGAGTCCCGGGCCCAGCAGCTTCAAACTCATGCTGGGTGTATATGTGTGCATGCCCAAAATGCCAAGAGGAAAATGGAAGAAAAGGGATTGTGGCATAGCCATCCCCCGAAGGAGGGGAGGTGATTTCTCGCTTTCTGTCTCTCTAGCGAGGGCACGTGCCCTATAGCTAAAATCTCTCAAAAAACAAAAACAAAACAACAACAACAAAAAGAAGAGCAGATAAAAATGCTAGGAGAACAAGAGTGGAGTTGTTAGCAGCTAAGAGTGAGGACAAAAAAACAAGTGTGTAAGGAACACAATCAACTCCAACTCTTCTGCTCTGCTTTTGACTTAGTGGCACGGGAGGGCCCTGTCACTTCCTCAAGATGGCCTTCTGCGTTGATGAGGTGTTTCAGAAGAAAGACACTAGGACATCATTACTCAGGTCTGATAAGGTCTGTTCTAATTTTTTTTTGGTCTGAACTACAACATTTGGTGCTACATTTAGTAATTACAGGAGATTCTTTGCAGCAGGTATCTTGATGCTAAAAACTGTAAAGTAATAAATGGAGAGCATGGAATTAAAAAGACAAAGACTTCTCCAATTTAAGAAGGGCCATGAAAGAAAGGCCATGATGGCTCAGGCAGGAGGTGCTGCTGTGAAACGTGGGATCGCCAGGCTTGGATCCCAAGTTGATCTAAACGTGCCAGGCACAGCCCTGGGCACGCCCATGATCCTGGCTTGCTGAAAGGCTGTGGGCTGGGGATCATGGCGTGGCAAGACCTTGTAAAGGCTGCCTATCCCTCCCTCTCTCTCTCTTTCTTATGAAAAGAAGGAACGAACCAACAAATGTGCTTGGGAAAAAGAAAATTCCAGAATATTCATTGAAAGCATAGTATTGAAAAAGTGGAAGAAAAAATTAAAAATATACATATCTAAAATGCTAGCCATTCTGTAACTGTTACATTAAACCACTTAAAGAGTATAAACAGAATGACTTACATTAAACCACTTAAAGAGTATAGACAGAATGACTTACATATTTGTTCAATACTTTATCGTCATTCCCTCTGATAATATATATATTTTCAAGAATTGTTTTTCTTTATTTTTGGTTAACATTTTAAACACCTGTAAGGCATGACAGTAACTACGTAAGGGGAAGATAAGGTTTCTTTCTACTTCTAAGTGTGGTACTGTGATACTTTAGGCACTAAAGCAGAGCTAGTAATGTTTTTCTAATTCTCACATCAGCCTGTTTTAACAGATCGAGGTCATGTTTGTTGTAAGATGTATGTAGCCTAACATTAACTTTGTGGTCTAAAGAAATGTTTACCTGTCCAAGCCAGATTTCATAGTAGACCAAATCTTTTGTTGTTGAAGTGTTCTAAGCTATACTTTGATGTTTGAAAGAATTATTTGTTAAAATGCTTTTCAGTTTCATTCCTAAGATCTACTTTTTAAACTTTCCATACCCTGTAGTTATCATTCTTCATATATTAGTCTTAGTCCTTTAGAAATAGGTTAAGGTGAAGTAGCTTGAGGGAAGAACTCTCCACAGGGCTTGTTTTCCAAAGAAAAGTGTTTAGAAGAACATAATTATAAGCCAATATGAGTATGTTGAAAGCTGTGGGAAAAGTAACTCAGTGAGGCTTATGAATGGAAGTGTGTCCAAATAATACTCTGCTTAAAGAGGTGGTAACGGGGACCAGCACTTAGCGTAATGGCTGTTGCTGGACTCCCATGTACTCACGGTTTGCATCCCGGACCCAGTGGCTTAAAACTCATGCCAGACGCATGTGCGTGTGTGCTCAAGATCCCAAGAGGAGTATGGAGGAGAAGGAATTGCAGCGTGGCCATCCCCCCTGGGGGGGTGATTTCTCGTTTTCTCGATTTCTCATTTCTCTCTGTCTGTCCGGCGAGCGCACATGCCCTATAACAAAAAACTCTCCCAAAAAAAGGGAAAAAAAAAAAAAAAGAAAAGAAAGAGGCGGTAATGAATACAGATGAATAAAAGAAAAAAAAAAGTATAAATACAGGGTCCAGCAGGTGGCATGGTGATTAAGGTGGCTGGACTCCCACATGGCCGACCATGGGTACAGTCCTGAACCTGGTGGCCTGAAAATCATGCTGGGTGCGTGTGTGTGAGTGCCCAGAATCCTGGAAGGAGAGTGAAAGAAAAGGGTTGTGGCACTGCCATTCTCTCTCACTGTCTGTCTCTCTGACGAGCATACGTACCTTATGTCAAAAAACCTAATAAATAAATAAATAAATAAAAAAATCAGCCAGCCAGCCAGCCAGCCAGCCTAACACCTATTTCTGGGAAGTAAATAAGCAAAACTACTAATTCTTAAATAATTAGTTTATTTATTTTTTATTATTTTTAAATAATTATTTAATTTTATTTATTCATTCATTTTCATTTTCATTTGACAAGAGAGAACTACAGAGAGAGAGAGAAGGAAAATGAGAAAGCAAGCCACCAGGTCTGGGAATTGAACTGTGGTCAGCCATGTGGGAGTGTCCAGCCCCCTAACCACCTGCTGTTCCCCTTAAATAATTATTTTAGATGAAAAATTACTAAGTAAGAGTTAGGCCTCAGGGCTGGCCTGTGGCCTGGTGGTGAAAGGAATCAGATCCCACATTGCAGACTGTGTGGTTCAAATTTTTGCTCTGGCAACTTGAAAAACACTCTGGATGCATGTGTGTGTGTGTGTGTGTGTAAAACCCGGACAGGATGGAGAGGTGGATGAGAAGGGACTGTGGCATAACCATGCCCCATTAGGAAGTGCCTTCTGCACATGCACCCTCCGGCAAATAGAAAAAAAAAACGATTTAGGCATCAAAACAATCATATACTGCAATATATTTCTCTCTTCTTTAACCTATTGTTGGAATGACTAATGACTTCTACAGATATGAGTACATTATGTCAAAACTATCATATTGATGAAAGATGTAAGGAAAATGAAAAACCGTGGGAGACCTTTGCTTGGCTGAAGAACAGAGTGCCTTGCCAGTGGCATCCATCATTCTGCCAGCTTGAGTTGCATCCCGTTCTCCTTGAAACTTTAAAAAGAGCCCCAGCTCATTTTCTTCTTCTGATATAGCTAGGAAAAAAATGACAGAATTAATGGTTTCATTCCATAATTTGTTTAAAACACACACATAACTAAAATTCTCACAGCAGTAACTCTCTATACTAAGAATGACTTGGGGGAGGAAAAGGAAAGACTTCCTTTAAAAAGTTTCTTTCTAGGACCAGCAGGTGGCATAGAGGTTAAGGCACTGGATCCCACAAGGATGACTGTGGTTCAAGATCTGACCCTGTGGTTTGAGAATCATGCCAGGGTGCATGTGTGTGCATACCTGAAAGTCCAATATTGGAAGAGAAGCGACTATGGTGTGGCCATTCCACCTGGGGGAGGGGGTGACTTCTCACTCCATCCCCCTCTAGCAAGCACACATGCCCTATACCAAAAAACTAAAAATAAATAAATAAATAAAAGTTTATTTCTTCAGAGAGAGAGAAGTACTTTCAACAGGGTCTCACCCTGTGATCCCACTCCACTGCAGCCTTCCCAGTCAGCCAGGACCATGGATATGTGTGTGGCTGGCATGTACACATCGACCTGGGAACCAAACCCTGTTTTCCATATGGATCCAGCATTGCCAAGTGGCGTGATGGTTAAGGTGCTGGACTCCCACTTGGCCGACCATGGTTGCAGTCCTGGTCCTGGCAGCTTGTTTTCTCATTTTCCCTCTCTCTCTCTGGTAAATACTCATGCCCAACAGTAAATTTTAAAATAATAATAAAAAATAAAATTAATCTTTAAAAATAAAATAAAATGCAAATTCTTGGGTCCCATTTTCACAGGTTTTTTATTATTATATAGACCATAGATTAGTTTATGTTTAATGCCCATCATGCCATGAATTCCTAGGGAATAGGTTCCAGAAGCTCCCTTTCCACTGGTTCTCACATAATGTTCTTCTCTGGGTGGAGCAGGCTGGTGCTTTAGTTGAACCCAGGTACCTTTCTCTTTGGCTTCCTTCTTTTTCTGGTCATTTTCCTTCATGTGTTTTAAGAAGCTATCTCTGTTCTTAGATTGCCTAATAGGCTCACTATGCACATTGATTCTCTTGGCAAGAATCTTGCCCTGAACTTGTTTGTTCACAACAATGCCAACAGCATGCTGGGTAACATTGTAGACTCTTCCAGCTTTGCCATGATAACATTTGTGGGACATTCCTTTTTGAACAGTACCCACTCCTTCCAAGTCTACAATATCACCTTTCTTGTAGATTCACATATATGTTGCCAAAGGAACTACTCCATGTTTTCTAAAAGGCCTAAAGAACATATATCGGGTGCCTCTCCTCTTCCGTGTTCGTCATTTTTGGTTAATTACTGGAAGATGGTGGTTCTGGCCAAAAAGAAGGCCCATTTTCATGGATTTTGATCTTACAGGTCTGGAGACATGCTTTTTTATTTTTTACAAGTACTCCAGATGGTTACAATGCAGTGAATCCATGAACCTACTTCACTTTGGGAAAGTCTGATCTTTAGTGACTAAATAAATAAATAAAACCTAAAAGTAAAAAATAAAATAAATCCACAAATGAAACATTTTCAAATGTGCAGAGATAGCACTGCAGGATCATTGCTTCCTACAAATAGTTTCCTATTTAAACTTGTTAACTTATTCTTAACTCCCATCCTGGCTTCAGTTACCTAAGCTTAGTATCCCGCACCTACAGATGTCCACAATTCTGCTACAAAAATCCTAAAAGTTGTCATCTAGTGCAGTGCTACTCAAGCATGGCCATGGAACAGTTCCAGTCCAGACTCATCTGGTAACCAGTCTGTGACAAGTTAGGGACCAGAGGGTAAATGTATAGAGATTTGTCAAATCTAATAATAAAAATGTGAGCTTATATTTTACATGTCTTTCTTAATTTCATTTTTCTAAAAATTCATTTTGCAACAGATTAAAAGTAAACCACAAACAGAAAACTGGTCCTACACCTCAGAGTTTTAGAAACAATGACCTAGTGTTGGGCAAACCTCTAACCACAGCAAGGCTGAGAGAGGAGAAAGACGATGAACTGTTTCAACTGTAAGCTTAAAGTGAACAAAGTGACAACAGTCATGCTTTTTTTTTTTTTTCCTAGTTCACTGACAGAAAACTGAAGTTAAAAACTAAAGCAAAGTCCCTAGGTATCTGTGGGGCAGCAACAGAACTCACGCCTTCTCACTTGTTGGCTCACCATTCTCTCCTTTTCTCCCTGACATGCCCACGGGGTAACCCCAGAAGAGAGCATGATGGGGGGATGGGGAGGGTATCTCCACATTCTGTAGTGTCATCTTTAATAAAAGCATGTGCTACATGATGAACAGCTAACCTGATCAAGAGTGAATAGGATTTCGAAAGGCATGTCAATATTCTGATTACTTGAGAGATATGCAAATTACATATTTTCTTTGAATCGGAACTTCATAGAATATACCTCAATAAACACTACTTGAAAAAATATTCCATTTTATGTATGTATGTACGTATGTATGTATATATATATATATATGTATGTATTTAGTTGGTCTAAAGACATACGCACTTGCCAGGAAGAGACAGACCTAGGTGCCTTAACGTCAGGCTATAGAGGTGGCCCCACAAAATATTCCTTTGAGTATGATGATTCAGAAGGTCATCTGAGAAGTTGGAGTATTTCATTATCAAGTATCTGAACTGAATTGGCATGAGCCTTACCTTTATCAATGCCAAATGGGCAGCTGAGGCTGAATCTGTGCTGTTTCTGTGTCGGGACCTGCCTGTCAAAATCTACAGAGAGCTCACCACAGGTGCTCTTCCCCCAAGATTTACAAATCAATAGTAATCCACAGCAGTTGTCTGATATTATTCCCAACTGAAGGTGGATTAATACAATATAGTCTTCAAGAAGTCACAAATTTAGAAAACACATAATGAAATCCATATATGTGCATCTCTTCTTTATACTGAAATGTTCCCTGACAGTGCTAAAAGATCTAGCAATTGCAGGACTCACAAACTTGCCAATGTTTCTTTATATTTCCATTTCCATCATAGGATTCCCTTGGTCCAATGGTTGTGATGGTCTTTCACTGTTTGGTAAAATATTAATAGTCCTTAGAAAGCTGACTCCAAATTTCCTTTTTTCCTATTATCCCCATATTAGTCACAATTCCAAAGTCTTCTGCCCATGAAAGTTGCTCTCATTCTACTTTTTTTTCTCCCTATAGGGTGCATGTGCTTGCTAGAGAGACAGAGAGACACAGAGACAGAAAGTGAGAAATCACTCCCCAGGGGAGGTGGCCATGCCACAGTCCCTCCTCCTCCAGTCTCCTCTCAGGATTTTGGGCATGCACACGCATACACCCAGTGTGAGTTTCAAGCTGCTGGGTCCAGGACTTGAATCACAGTCAACCAGGTAGGAGTCCAGCATCCTAACCACTACACCATGTGCTGGCCCCATTGTTGTTCTTTCTTTAAGCTCATTCCCGGCTCTAAATCTCTTTTCTCCACATATTCAATTTCCATAAGCCCTTTAAGTTTTACCTCAATTCCCATCTGTGGAAATAGCCTTTATGGATAAATAATCCATTTATTTTTCACTCCTAGGAATTCAAAATGATGTCTGTATCACCACTCTGAACTCAATTACATACTATTTGTATCAATTCTTATTTTGTTACAAAAAGTTGTTTCTCCAACAATTTCCTTGGGAAAAACACAGTCTTGCATATGGCAGGTATTAAAAAAATACTTGTGTAATATCGCCATATTGGGTTTCTTCCTTTAATGAGACAATATATGAGCTTTAATTATAAAACAATGAGATTAATGTATAAAATAGAACTTCACAAGAAAAACAACTTGTTAGTTGAGCAAACATTTATTGAGTACTGACTATATGCTTCACATTGTTTGTAGTCATTGGGAACACAGAAATAAGACAAATCCCTGTCTTTAAGGAGAGCTTACTCTTGTTTTGGGAAAAGAAAATAGATAAAATATATAGAATCCTGAATATTGCTAAGTAGACAGGGAGTTAGAGAGGGATATCACATTTTAGAAATTGGGTTCAGAAGAGGCCTCAGAGAGTTAGAGAGGGATATCACATTTTAGAAATTGGGTTCAGAAGAGGCCTCATTATAAAGATGACATTGGACCAGAGTAATGAAAGCAAGAGGAGAGATCCAAAGATTAAGATCTAACCTGAAGAGGTCAAGGAGATAGGCTTGTCCAGCAAGGACAGGATGTTGACAAGGACTGAGGAAAAGAGGGGCTGCAGGGAAGTGGTGTCCGGAAGCCAAGTGAAGAAAGTGTTATCAGGGAACCAGCAGTTAGCGTAATGGCTATGTCGCTGGACTCCCACGTAGTCGACCGCAGTTCACGTCCCAGACCTGGTGGCTTAAAACTCACGCCGGGCGCATGTGCGTGCGTGCCCAAGATCCCGAGAGGAGAATGGAGAAGGGATTGCGGCGTGACCATCCCCCCTGGGGGGTGATTTCTCGCTTTCTGTCTCTCTGTCTCTCTCTGTCTGTCTGGCAAGCGCACACGCCCTATAGCAAAAATCTCTCAAAAAAAAAAAGAAAGTGTTATCAAGGAGGATGGAATAATCAACTGTGTAAATAATGTGCTAGGTCAAAGTAGGACTGAGGAGTGGTCACTGGATTTACCTTTTCATGACCTTGACAAGAAATTTGGTTGAGGGGTGAGGGGTGAACTTGACCAGAGTGAGTACAAGAGAAAGTGGAAGGAAAGGCATTGAAACCAGTGTGCATGCAGACAATTATGTCAGATTTTTCTGTGCAGAGGAGCAGAGGAAAGAGGTGCTAACTACAAGGGGAAGTGGGTGTCGAGAGAGCTCTGAAGTGAGGGGAGTAAATACACGCTAGGCTCTGTGAGACAGAACAGGTCACTATAAATATATCCATATTTTATTATAAATAACTACTCACAAAATAGTTCAATAAACCATTACTTTTACATTAAATCTTTCATTTTTGAAAATGAAAACTAACACTTATGTTAAATGGAACTTATCAAATAAATTATCTATGATTTCATACCATTGAGTCTTAGCTGATATTTCTCGACTATCTTCAGAAGTTCAGTGCATGTCTCTTGAATGGAGTGAAAAACCTTGAAATATAAATTTTGTAAGGATAATTTAAAGAATCGTAAGTAAATTAAGTAAATCTAAAATATAACACTTTAAAAGCAGTTATATACATTTTCTACTAAGCATTATATCTATTTTATAGATATTATGTCTATTTCCCCTGACTGTGACATATTTCAGTTTTGGTTTTACTTCTGATGTAGAAAGCACATTTAGATTTCTCCCATGAGGACTGGAAAAAATGGTGATAAATACACAGGAGTGAATAAAAAAAGTTAAAACTACAGAGTTTGTCCTCCCCTCAGCTGCTAGCTACTAAATAGCAAAAAGGTAAATTCAATTTGAACTGCATCAAGTATTGCCAACTACAGGTGAAAAAAATGTAAATAACCTTCGAAGGTATTACCTGAGTCTGGCTTTTCACCAATACTGGTCTAAGCAAAACAAGTTAGTGAATTTACTAGGAAAAATAATGTGTAACAACATCAAATATCAATTACTTTTTATTTATTTTTGTTTGGAATTTTCCATAGACATTAATCCCTTTATTACTAGTTGATAATTGCTAACAGAAAAAACTCTAATATCCCGCAGGCTCCCATTTCAAAGTTCAGTACATGAAAACTTGAAATGAGGATCCATTGATACACACATGATAACACTGTTTGCACGTTTCTACAAATTCATGTTTTCTCAGATAAACGAGCCAGCATGGGTTTTAAAGTACAACCTCCTTCTGGGAACCAGCAGTTAGCGTAATGGCTATGTTGCTGGACTCCCACGTAGTCGACTGCGGTTCTCGTCCCGGACCCAGTGGCTTAAAACTCACGCCGGGCACGTGTGCGTGCGTGCCCAAGATCCCAAGAGGAGAATGGAGGAGAAGGGATTGCGGCGTGACCATCCCCCCTGGGGGGTGATTTCTCGCTTTCTGTCTCTCTGTCTCTCTCTGTCTGTCTGGCGAGTTCACACGCCCTATAGCGAAAACCTCTCAAAAAAAAAAAAAAAAGTACAACCTCCTTCTCACAAAGTACTAAGAATTTTTATTAGATTTAGTTCAAAAGAATTACTAGATTTAGTTCAAAAATACCTTGGCACTGTGGTGTAGTATCTTTGATTATCAAGTATATTCCCAGTATTATTAAGAAGCCTAAATATTCTATCTCTGGAGCATTTTCACTGTTAGTCTAATGCTGAAATAAACGTAAGGAACATTGATAAGAAGCTGTGAAATGTTAGTGCACAAGCAACCATCAGTTTCCCATATAAGGAGTAAATGCTTGTTTAATTCGTTATCTGCCTCTATATTTTGGCAATGACACATGCTTACATTTTGTGGAATGAAAATACTTAGTAGATCAAGACCAATTTAATTACACTTATATTTTTAAGACTCCCAACACAATAATTATATTTCAAGCATAACAGAACCCCTGCTTAGAAATATTTGCAACAGTTGTCTTAAATTAGTATTGTAAGTGGAATTAGTAAATCTGAACCTAAAAATTCAGACTTTTTCACTAATTTACATGAGTGAGATGTTCCTCTAGCTTAATTCCTTAAGAGTATAAAATATTTATAGGTTTAAAGTTGTTTTCTGATAATTATTCCTTTTATTTAAAATGGAGTACAGAGCCAAAATAGCATTATGAAATACTTTAATAACTTTATTCCTTAATAATAGAAACAAAAACTCTTATCCTCATTCACTATATTATTCAAATAATTTATTTCAGTGAGGTATAAGACTTAACATCAACATACTACAAAATATTATGGCCTGTTATATAATGAGTATATGGTCCCAATTAGGAATTCCATTAATTTTTATCCTAAAGATTATAATATGTGCCAGAGAAATTATTTAACTCATGATTTATCTATTTTAGTGAATGCCAGTTCTGTAAGTTCTCAATTTGCTAGAATTGTGACCTCTTATGAGAAGGCTGGTTGACAGCTGGATACAACTAAAGATTCTACCACCAAATTTGCCTTTATTCCCATACGTTCTTTGTTCCCACATGTTCTGTGAAAGTATGTCATAGCCCTCCCAGAGTCCCAAGTAGTAACCAATTACATGCAATACACAGAATCCTCAAATTTACCTCAAGTTTAGCATCCAGTTCAGCATCAGATGCCACCACATGCTCATCTTCTTTTTTTCCCGTGGCTTTGAGAAAGACCTGCTTAGTTTTCCAGTATTTCTTTTGCATTCTGCTGACTACTGACTGGTTATCTTCTGGTCTGGGTTGCCCAAAGGAATCCATGGAGGGACTAAAACAAAAAGACTAAAATTAAACTTTTTTTTTTTTAAAAAAAAGGCCTTCTCAGTAATAAATATTTAGGTAGTTTATATTTATCTAACTGACAAATGGATAAAGATATTAAACAGAATAACAATGTTCAAGGGCCAGCAGGTGGCATGGTGGTTAAGGCGCTGGACTCCCACATGGCTAACCGTGATCAAATCAGTCTTGGTGGCTTGCTTTCTCTCTCTCTCTTACTCTCTCTCTCTCTCTCTCTGGTCAAACTGAAGAATAATGTTTAATTTAAAAAGTAAATAAATGGGGAACCAGCAGTTAGCGTAATGGCTATGTTGCTGGACTCCCACGTAGTCGACCGCGGTTCACGTCCTGGACCCAGTGGCTTAAAAAACCCATGCCAGGCGCGTGTGCGTGCGTGCCCAAGATCCCAAGAGGAGAATGGAGGAGAAGGGAATGCAGCGTGGCCATCCTCTCTGGGGGGTGATTTCTCGCTTTCTGTCTCTCTCTGTCTGGCGAGCGCACATGCTCTATACCAAAAACCTCTCAAATAAATAAATACATCGCAAAAAAAAAAAAAAAAAAGTAAATAAATGAGGGCTGGCAGGTGGCATGGTGGTTAAGGGCACTGGACTCCCACATGGCAGATTGCAGCTCGAGTTCTGGACCTGGCGACTTGCTTTCTCACTTTCCCTCTCTCTCTGTCCCTCTCTGGTCAAATTAAAAATAAGTAAATAAATAAATAAGATTAAATTTTTAAAAATTAAATAAATGGGGCCAGCAGATGTTGTAATGGTTATATCATTGGATTCCCACTTAGCTTACTATGGTTCAAGTCCCGGACCTGGCAGCTTAAAACTCACACTGGGTGTGTGTGCATGCACGCCCAAAATCCCAAGAGCAGAATGCAGGAGAAGGAATTGTGGTATGGTCATACCCCAGGGTGGTGATTTCTCGCTTTCTATCTCTCTATCTTTCTCTGTCTCTCCAGCAAGTGCACGCACCCTATAGCAAAAAAATACTCTCTAAAAAAAAAGAAAAGAAAATTTGAATAAATATTTTTTAAAAAGAATGTCAATGTTCATAACCAAACATGCTAATGCTTGCTTATATGATTCTACATGTATAATTACTTGCACAAGAAACTACAAAAAGGATAAATAATACTTAATTTCAGTTGGGTAAGAAAGGTGATAAAACTGTTGAGAGTTTGCAATTATTACTGGAAAATATGTTCTGTTTTGTTTATTTTTTTTAGAGAGATTTTTCCTATAGGGCGTTTGAGCTTGCCAGAGAGACAGAGATATCACTGCCCAGGGTCAGGATGCCTATGCCTCAATCCCTTCTCCTCTGTTCTTCTCTCAGGATTTGGGCATGCAAGAACACACACTGATATGAGTTTTAAGATTCATTTCTAGTGGTCTTTATGTACTGAGTGTCTAGACAGGTCCAAGTGAACAGGATCCAAACATCTGAATACAATTAGAGTCAGAATATCCCTCAATTCCCACTGAATCTGATGCACAAAGAGTGAAAACAGAATGGAAGAGAGATTGCAGATCACCTCCTCCTGCAAGCCTCTGGTTGCTCAGCTTGAACTTCGAGAATTAGGAAGAAACGCACCATCCATCGGATGACCAGAAATCATTATAGGGTCACAAGAAATATGGGAAAGCAAGAAAATATCTCTCCTCAAAGGGAAAAGAATCTTCTTCCTCAGACAGTACAATGAAACTCACTGAAAAGTCAGATAAAGAATGTAGAATATTCATAGTGACAAAGCTAACAGAGATGAAAGAGAAGAGAGACAATGAACTGCAGCAGAGGCAAGAGAAAGGACCCAACGAGTTCCAGGAGGTGAGGAATTCTTGCAAGATCTAAAAGAGGAAATACATACCATAAAAAAACAATCAAATGGGGAACCAGCAGTTAGCGTAATGGCTATGTTGCTGGACTCCCACGTAGTCTACCGCGGTTCGCGTCCCAGACCCGGGAGGCTTAGAACTCACGCCGGGCGCATGTGCGTGCGTGCCCAAGATCCCGAGAGGAGAATGGAGGAGAAGGGATTGTGGCGTGACCATCCCCCCGGGGGGTGATTTCTCACTTTCTGTCTCTATGTCTCTCTCTGCCTGTCTGGCAAGCGCACGTGCCCTATAGCGAAAACCTCTCCAAAAAAATAATAACAAAAAATAAATAAATTAATTAATTAATTAAAATAATCAAATGGACCTGTTAGAGATGAAGGCTATAATTCAGGAAGTCAAAACCTCCCTTGAAAGTATTAAAAGCAGACTAGATCGTACAGAAAATTGAACCTCAGATGTAGAAGATAGAATTGCCGGCCTAGAGAAATCCACCATGAAGATTGAGAAAATTGCCCTGAAAAGTAAGAATAATATATGAGAAACACTAGATACCATCAAACAAATTAAATACAGACACACAGAAATAACAACTCAAAAACAACTAAGAAAATGGCCTACTTAATCATAGGGACAAATCTGGAGTTAAATATTATATCCCAGAATTTAATCAGGAAGATCGAACCACAACAGAAGATAGATTAAGTACATGAGTCTGAATTGTTGAAATAGAATTTTATGACTTTTGACTAAAACATTGCTGACTTTCTTCTAGGCTTTGTTTTCCAGTTTTAAGGATTTTTGTCCTGTCTTGAGCTGCCGATACGTTCATGCACCTACTATTTGAACAGAATCCTAACCTATTTCTTGGCTTTAAGTTTTAAGCAAAGTTCCTTAGCATGTCTTTTTTTTTTTAAATTATTTTATTTAGCATTTTTTCACATGAGTTTTTGCCAGAGGAAGAGAGACAGAGAGAGGGAGAAAGCAAGCCACCAAGTTCGGGACTCGAACCATGGACAGTCATGTGGGAATTCCAGCACCACATCACCTGCTGGGCCCAAGCATTTCTTTTATTTATTAAAGCTAAAACTGCTTTTCCTTGAAACTAAAAAATATATTAAAAAATACCTATTTAATGACCATAATAAACTATATAGCATCAGCTAGGTGCTATTTTTAGTATATTCACTGTACTCAGAGTTTCACGCCTGAAGTCAGACATGTATTCACAGATACGTACACATCAGCTGAACTTGCTATTGAAAGAAGTTAGATTATTTAAGATAATAAAATATGGGGGGAAAAAGAAAGTGTGGGAGGAGGGTGGGAAATGGCAGAGGGTGAGAAATAGGGGAAAACATGTATGTAAAAATATGTATGAAACTAGGAATGGAAAATTATCGATGATAACATGTATGATTAAGCCACTGTGCAGTATATTCTGGATGAGAAATCACATTTTGTATACTGTGACTATGCTCAGTGAATTAATGTAAATTAATTAATTAATTATAAATAGATAAATAAAAATAAAAAGATTTACAAAACTAGAAAATAAAAAAGAAATTTATTACCTTCAGGGACCAGCAGATAGAGTAATGGTTAAGTCACTGGACTCCCACATAGTCGACAGTGGTTCAAGTCCCAAACCCAGAGGTTTAAAACTCATGCTAGGCGCATGTGCGTGTGTGTCCAAGATCCCAAGAGGAGAATTGGAGGAGAAGGGATTGCAGGTGGCCATCCCCCTTGGGAGGTGATTTCTTGCTTTCTGTCTCTGTGCCTTTCTCTGTCTCTCTGGCAAGTGCAAGAGCCCTATTTTCTCTATTAAAAAAAGTATTAGTTTCTAATTTTTGCTTTTGTAAAAATATTGCAAAATAAAAAAAAAACTTGTACATACTTTTATATATATTTTTTTTTCCTTAGAAAAACTTACCCTAGTTATAATTGCTATGTCAGATGAATACACATTTAGTGAATTTTTTAGGCAGGCAAAGATTTGGATATATACCCTTCCTTGAAAAAAGTCACCAAGAATATACATTAGTATCCAATAAATCAATAGTTAAAGAATTGTTGAATTATTAAAGACCCTATATAAGGGAGATATTTTATAAAAGAAATAGAGGTGAACATAAATTATAATTATAAAAATTAATGTCTACATAATTGTTCTTAACATAGTTAACAAGGCTACATAAAGAAATGCAAATGTGAAAAGTATTTCTTAAGGAGATATAAACAAAGAAATAAAAATAGTTTGCTTGACTCTAAGCCTAAATTATTCTAGTAATCTGTGGGACTAGGAACAGAAGGAAGATACTAAACTATGTGACTCATTCATCATTTCCAGGAGCATCCACAGATATTACTGTATCCCTCATGTTGATAAAGAAACAGAGGTTCACTTTCTTTGTATTTTGAAGTACTTACTAATTAAATAAAAACAACATGCCTAATTTTCGAATTACCAGCAGCAAAATAAGAGCAATAAAAACTTGCTAAAGCAAAAGCAAAAGCCATCATGGGAAAAACAGGAGTAAAACAACAGCAAACAGTACAAATCAAGATGATGAAAAGCCAGAGGCATGGTAGTTAAGGCAGGCGGCTGGATTCCACATGGCTGAGTTCCAGACGGTTTCAGTCCCAGACCTGGCGGCTTAAAAGACACATCAGGCATGAGTACGTGCTCAAAATCCCAAAAAGAGAAATGGAGGAGACAGGATTGTGGTATGACCATGCCCCATGGGGGGAAGAGCTTTCTCACATTCCCTTTTTGTCTCTTTCTCTTTATCTCTCTTCCCTACGGTGACTGCACATGCCTGATAGCAAATTTTAAAAAAGGAAAGACAAGACGACAGAATAGGAACAATTATATTTTTAAGTGTGGTAAGTACAAACTCCATTTTAAATACAAAACTCTTAAACCATAAAAAAAAAAAAGATAAAAGCTAAATCCAACTTATATGCTGCTTGAGAGTCACAAAAATTAAATGACAGAAAGAATAAAAATAAAGGGAGGTGGGACCAGCAGGTGGTATAGTGGTTAAGGCACTGGGCTTCCACACAGCCAACCACAGTTCAAGTCCCAGACCCAACAGCTTGAAACTCATACCAGGCACATGTACATGTGTACCCAAAATCCTGAAAGGAA